TCTTTAAGTTAATCAGTGATGCCAAGTCCAGAAATTACAGAATAGACGATCGCAAACTAGCCCAGTTGGATACCATTTCTAGGAGAATGTTTTTTGGATTGAATAGATCTAGAACGGTTAATGAAACTCTCATCACCAAGTTCAAAGATTCTACAGAGGAGGAAGATAGAATGATCTACTCGGCTCTACTCATGCAGAAAAGAGACCATCAGTTCCTTACAGATCACTTGTCAGCGCTTACTGAAGCTACTACCATGGCTCGTCGTCAGGGTCTACTAGCCTCCTGCAATTGGGATAATCAATTTACGGAATCACTCTACGCTGCCCCATGGTCATCGCCCCTACTCTTTGGTGGTAACATAGACAAGGTCTCCAAAGAGGTGTCTAAGGACTCTAGAGAGGTGCTTATGACCAAGTCCATGGATACGTTAGCTTAACGCCATTAAACAATCATCCTTGAGATACGCTGGCAAGTCTAAATTCTCTGGACTACAGAAAGCACGGGACAAGAAATTGGCTACAGCAAAAGGTCCCAGGGAATCTTTTCGTCGCCCATACAGCAATTTCAGAGGAGGATCAGCAAGAGGCAGATCATCCAGAGGTTCCCAAGGATTTAGACGATGAAATTCAGGTTCGGAACGACTGGAGTCTTCCACCCCAGCCGTTCCAGTACAACCGTCTCAAGTGGGTGGACGCCTTCAGCTGCACTGGGAAAACTGGGGACTACTACAAGAAACTTATGTATCCAACATCCTACAGCACGGATATCAAATACAACTCAAGGCCACACCTCCGTTAACAGTCACCCCTCCAAGGTTCGACTTTCAACCGGCACAACTACCTATGTTAAGAGAAACAGTAGCCACTCTGCTAAGCAAACAGGCCTTAGAAGTTCTGGATCAGCGAAACATCGTACCAGGTTTCTACTCCCCAGTTTTCCTAGTGCCCAAGAAAAATTCCAAGGAAAAGTTTCATCTCATATACAACATGAGCATCTTCAACAAAGACTATCTAAGCAAACCGCCAGCGTTCCGCATGATACACTTACCGCAACTTCGGCACTTAATTCGTCCCAAAGATTACATGGCCAGCATAGATTTACAAGATGCATATCTACACATTCCGATTCATCCCAATTCAAGGAAATATATAAGATTTATCCTAGACGGGAAACACTACCAATGGAAAGTACTTCCCTTCGGAATCTCATCGGCCCCTTGGGTATTCACAAGAGTGACGAAGCCTATTGTCGCATACCTACATCGTCAAGGTCTTCGCAGCGCATTTTACCTAGACGACAGGATACAAGTGGATCCAGATCCACAGCGTCTCAGACTACAGCTGAACTTTATAATCAAGTTACTAACACAACTAGGATGGTTAGTAAATCTACTCAAGTCGGACCTAGAACCAACGCAAGATCTGCAATTTCTAGGTATACGATTTCCAGAATCGTATAGTAGTCCCGGAGGACAGATGGATCAAGATCCAACAGTTAATCCCACAAGCCTTACTCTCTCCGCTACCACTACGACAGTGGCAGATCCTATTGGAACTACTCACATCAGCCCAAGACTTGACAGTCAGAAGCAGGCTTCAATTACGTCCGTTACAAGTCCTCATCAATGCGCATCTAGAGGACCCTCTACCGTTCAGTCTACCAGATCACGTCAAACCTCATCTACTCTGGTGGACCAAGAGATTGAATGTTTGCGTAGGCGTCTCCTTATTAGAGCCGAATCGAAACACATCTCTCGTGACGCAGCGTCACTACAAGGTTGGGGAGCCCACACCGCCTACAAGACAGCGTCAGGCCTATGGAGCAATCAAGAGAGCAAATATCACATAAATCTGCTAGAGATGCAAGCAGTCATAAACGCCATAAGTCACTGGAGCAACCTACTACAGAACGCTCAGTTGATGATTCACACAGACAATTCGACAGTGGCGTTTTATGTGAACAAACAGGGCTCAACAAGGTCACCGAACCTACTGTCCCTTTGTTTCCGACTATTCGAGCTAATCGACAATCTAAACATACATGTCAGAGCTTGCCACATTCCAGGAGCAAAGAATGTATTAGCAGACGCTCTCTCGCCACACCTACGTCGCCCGACAGAATGGATGCTCCACACAGAGATATTCACTCAAATAATCATGGAAATAGGATCTCCACTAGTAGACCTATTCGCCACTCGATTCAACAAACAACTGACAACATTCAGTATCGCCAGTTCCAGACCCACTAGCATGGGCAACGGACGCACTAAGCATATCGTGGGAGGGACTCAACGCGTACGCTTTCCCGCCACCAGCGTTAATCCCACAAGTCTTACGGAAAATCAGTCAAACGCAGAGCCTCCATCTGATTTTGGTCGCGCCATACTGGCCAGCGAGAACGTGGTTTCCAAATCTTATTCAAGAAATCGGTCAACCAATTCTACAACTTCCAGAACGCTCGAATCTATTGATACATCCGCACACCAAACAAGTGCACGGAAAACCAGAAGTATTCCAACTTCACGTATGGATTGTATCAAGGCATGTCTGAATAAGAGAAGTTATTCAGCCAGAGCGGCAAAAGCAGTCACGCTTGCACTGCGTAATTCAACTCGCAACTTATACGATGACAAATGGCACAGTTTTGCCAATTATGCTGCAAAGAAAGGATTTACAGCCAGATATGCTACTCATCCTCAAGTGGCGGACTACTTATGTTATCTACGACAAACTAAGAATCTAAAAGGCTCAACTTTGTCCACTTATCTTGCAGCATTAAGCTCTGTCATAACTATGAGAACGGGCGTCAAGTTAACAAAGACCCCAGAGTTACTCGCTTTGCTACGAGCATTCCGATAGGAGGATCACAAGCGGAAGTTTCAAGCTCCAGCTTGGGATCTAAATATAGTGCTCCAACACCTCACAAGTGAGGCTTATGAACCGTTAGAATCTACATCGTTTGAATCACTGACCCAGAAAACTTTGTTCCTGTTAGCGCTAGCTACGGCTGCCAGGATGTCGGAGATTCACGCTTTGGATTACGAGAGAACACGCTTTGATGATATTCATAACATCGCACATCTGGGACTACGCTGGGATTTTATAGCTAAGAACCAATTGCCAGGTCAACCAGACAGATTATTCCACGTCCCAGCTCTCTCATCCATTCTTGGACCTCATGATACGATGGATCTATCACTATGCCCAGTAAGAGCACTGAAAATATATCTCCACCGATCCAAACAGAGGATCAGAACTGTCATACTACGTGCCTACAAGGCTGCAGGACTCGACCCTCCAAGAGCATCTAATCCCCATGAAATTAGAGCGTTAGCATGAACATTTGCTCTACATGGCAACTGCTCTTTAAATACCATAATGGAGGGCTGTTTCTGGAGATCCGATATGGTGTTTGCCAACCACTATCTGAGAGATATTACCACCAAGGACGTCTCAGGTATCCACCATTTCGGTCCCATGGTCCTCGCTCAACAGTTGACTGTTCCTCGGAGAAGATAAGTCAATCTTACAGATTTATACTTATCTGATATCAGTACTAAATAGCTACATGCTATATATATATTTTGCTTAAGTTCAATCTATTATCATAAGCTCAGTACTATGGTTATTATATCATACAATATATTAACTAACAACTCTAGAAGTTTTGCTACTATATTTAGCTTAAGTTTCATCATATCTTAAGCTCAGTAATATAGTCACAATTTATATATATATTAGCTAACAAACTCTAAGGAGTTTTTGCTATTATATAGCTTAAGTTAAATTATATCTTAAGCTCAGTACTATACTCATATAGCTTAAGTTTATGCATATCTTAAGCTTAGTACTTTGGTTACTGCATAAAAGTATATTTAACTATAAACTCAAGGAGTTTATGCTATCACATTAACAACTTAAGTCTACTAGTCTTAAGCTTTGTACTAATGTTGTATATACTTTATCATAATAAGTATATTGTAATAGTTATATTGTAATAACCCATATATGGCAGCTGATAAGTTAACAGCAGGAATTCATCAGTTCAGTGCCTTTATGAAGTTCCCATAGGGTTATTACAGTCATTACAATTCAAATCACTAATTATCCAAATCCAAAGTATTATATATTCCCACCTCCATAGCCATTCGGTTCTACAAGCAAAAGCATGAGTCAGGAAAAGGAAAAATATGTAATTTTCTGAGTAAAATTGATATTTTATACTTATCCTGACTCATGAGGTAAGCCCTCCCGTCCTCCCCACATAACACTTTGGATTTCCCTGTAAATTCAAGTGTTGGGCTCGCTACATAAGGAGAGAGTGAGGCACATGGTGGGAGGTGGCGCCCTCGTTCCCGAGCTTGCGAGGGGAAAGATAACTCATGGTGAGTACTAATTAGTGATTTTACATTGAAGGGAACTTCAATTGGGAGATACAAGTGTTCCACTGTGTTCGCAAAGAAGAAGAAGACAAGCAAAAAAGCATGAGTCAGGATAAGTATAAAATATCAATTTTTCTCAGAAAATTACATTTTTATACTTATCCTGACTCATGAGATGAAGCCCTCCCAACCGTCCCCTCACAACACAGGTTTCCCTGTAAACCTGCGTAGGGCTTATATCGGAGAGAGTGAGGAGCAAAGCATGGCAGGTCAGGTGCCAGTTTTGGCGGGAAAAGGGAGGTAATTGAGGGTGAGTGATTGTACGTTCGCTTCAAGGGAATTGAAGGGATTCAAGTTTCCACTTGACCGTTCAGAAGAGAGGATGAGAAAGCAAATAAGCATGAGTCAGGATATGTATAAAATATTAATTCATCTTAAAAATTACATTATGGGATATAACTGGAGTAGTGGTGACAATCATTAACTAGCCCACCCTTGTCTGTAATACAATGACTAGCAAATGTTACAATGATAAGTGTTGATAGAATCTCTTCCCCAAGACACTTCCTCCTTCAAAAGGACCCCAATGTTTTAGTTTGTCTGCTAATTTCCTTGCAGCATTAAAGAATCATCAGATGCAAGAGATGTGTCTCCTATTAAGTCCCTGAAGGAAGATGTAAAAACCAATGTTCGGCTGGTCCAGTATGATCTGTCTTCAGAGGAAGAACAAGATGATGTCAGGAAGGTCTTGGTGAAACCAGCTGCAGGCCTGACACCCATTCCAGTAAAACAGGGCCAAGTGCCGGGGACACCAAGCGTGCTCAAGTTGAACCTGAACATCAAGACGCCATTGACAAACAAGCAGGTCAAAGAAAGTGGAAGTGCACTGAGTTCTCCTAAAAAGAGGAAAAGGAAAAAGAGAAAAGCCAGTTCATCCAAGTCGGAAGTGATGCAGACAATGGAGGAGATTCTTCAGAGCTGTGGTGAGGGTGAGATAGAAGACAGTGAGTGGAGGGTCAGGGAGGAGGAGATACAGGCATTGCTGTTCATGAGTCCATTGTCAGAGTCAGAGAAGCAGGACATTCAAGTCTGGCTCAATGAGAAGGTGGAGAACAGGAAAACTAAATCTTCTGTCCCTCCTGAAAGGGAAAACCCAATTGCCATGGTTGTTGAAGACATTCAGAATGAGGGCTGTAAACTTAGTAGCTGTGACAGTCTGAAGAAACAGTTGAATGACATGCCTGAATGTGTTGTAACGGTGCCTAGGGAAAGTGCTGGTGGAGAAGGTGTTACTGAGACAAAGATGACACCACAAGATGTTGATGAAAATGAAAATTGTGACATTAAACCTTGGTCGCAGCTTGACACTGCACCTAAACCAAGGAGATATCATCTGAGGAGAACAAGGCCAAACCACAAGGAAAATTCTGACCAAAGTGATTCCTCCCTTGAGAAGGAAAAGGACCACATGCCCAAAACTGAAACATCTGAACAACAAACACAGTTTATTTCAATGGAAGGCTTTCAAAGGGATGGAAAAGAGGTAGATGAATACGAAGCAGTAGATGGCCAAGCTGCTTGTGAAGTATCAAATCCACAGGGAGAACAACACAACTCTTGCAACACTGTCAGTACAGCTGATGGAAGAAGCAAAGCAGAAGCAACTGCAGATGCATTTCAAGATGAAACTGCTGAAGGATTAAGGGCTGTGAATCAAGAACCAATCACAGAGGTTGATGAAGTGACGGCAAGAGATATAGTGAGAGATGCTGAGGTCAAAGAGAAGGGGTCAACATCTGAATGTCAGGGTCAAAACAAAGGTGATGAGAATGTTCCTGCTTCCTTGACGGACACTGCTGGCCAGTGGTTTGACCCAAGTGAGGACACAGGAGATACATCTGACGATTCAAAAGAAGCTTTTGAATCATTTGATTCAGACGAAGCTGAGAGTATAGGCAGTGAAACTGGCTCAGAAAATATGTTGACATGTGACCGCCCAGATATCAGTAAGGACGAAAAACATGATGATTCCTTCCTGAGCTTGTCAGCAAGTCCCAGAGAAGGAGATGATAGAGAGTTGGATATATCTGTGGCCACTGAAAGGGAAGTAAAGCAAGAGGAAGAAGATGTTAGTAAGGAAGAAGAACATGATGATTCCTTCTTAAGCTTGTCAGCAAGTCCCAGAGAAGGAGATGATAGGGAGTTGGATATATCTGTGGCCACTGAAAGGGAAGTAAAGCAAGAGGAAGAAGATGTTAGAAAGGAAGAAAAACATGATGATTCCTTCCTGAGCTTGTCAGTAAGTCCCAGAGAAGGAGATGATAGAGAGTTGAATACATCTGTGGCCACTGAAAGGGAAGTAAAGCAAGAGGAAGAAGATGTTAGTAAGGAAGAAAAACATGATGATTCCTTCCTGAGCTTGTCAGCAGATTCCAGAGAAGGAGATGATAGAGAGTTGGATATATCTGTGGCCACTGAAAGGGAATTAGGGCAAGACGACCTCCAGCTCCCTGTCAGTGACAAATGTAGACATGACATCCAGAAGGATTCTCAGTGTCAGGGAAAACAAACTCAAGACGATAATGATACTTCAAATGAAACTGGAGTTTATTTTTCATGTGAACCAAGTGAAGAATCTTTTATTGTCAAACCTGAAGAAACTAATACTGATAATGTCAATATTACTAGAAGCGAAGTATCCAGTCGTAAAACGTCTAATGAAAAGGTTATTTTTGAAAATAATAGTAGTAATGGGAGTGGTGACCTTGGTAAAAAGAATTATGAAACTGTTGAAGGTGATATTATCTCTCCTCATCTGGACATGAGTAAAACCTTAGAAGTAAATAACGCTGTGACTATTGATGACCTGGATATCAAGAAGCCTCAGGAAGATGCTGTTCTCCAGAAATCCCTTCCAAAGAAATCAAAAACTCAGAGGAAGAAACAGGGAAATGTTCTTCCGTTTTTAGATAATGATGCTAAACAGAAATTTCAGACTGAAAATTGGAGTTCCTTTGGTCTCACTACAATGGCACAGTCCTCAGATTCCAAGGTCAGTGAACTGCGGAGTGCATTACCTAAGAGCAGGAAAGTTGCATGCAGATCCTTTTATTCATTTACAAGCTCAAGGGACTTTGCATTCATGAAACATATTAACTGCAACAAACCATTACACCAGATTAAAGATTCAGAGCAGTATACTGTCTTGCTGGGAAAATCAAGAGACATCAATTTTGAAAAGACTCAGAGAATGAAAACTAAATCGCAAAGTCCAGAAGAACAAAGAAAACATTACAGTGTAACTTTGGACAAAGGCTGTATGACAGACGAATTGGACTTACAAGTACCAGCTGATGTTGAGTTCCTTGTGAAAGCATTCCCCGGGGCAGAGGAGAATCACCTGCGGGATGCCCTGGATATATGTCAGGGCAATATTGAGTGGACAGTTAATCTACTTCTGGACTGGGGAGAAACAGTGCCATTTTCATCAGTGGACAAAGAGGAAATCTCCAGTCAGATGAAGCAGAAAACCCCGGACAAGACTGTTAAGCATGCTAAGCAGTCTCCACCCACAAAATGTCCCTTGTCACTTTTTGATTTTTGTCAGAAGGCCATTGATGCTAACAGTTTGGCCAGCAATGATGAAGTTCAAGACAAAGTCATCAGGACAGGGTACCAGCGCCTTCAGAGGATGGAGAGCCATAGCATGATGCGTCTGCGGAGCTTCAGCCAGAGTGAGTCAAGCCTGACCAATGACAGTGTGCTCAGTGATATTATACAGACTAGCAGCTCTGTGTTATCGGATGTCTATGGCAGCTCCAGTAAGCCTGGGAGTCAGGACACTGATGTCAAGGGTGACTGGGGAGTGGTGGAGGACTGGGCTGAGGAAGACCGGTGTATGCTGGAGGATGATGCCCATGTAACGCTGCCAGTCCCAGAGGAGCTGGTTAGAGATTTAGAGGAGCTGTTTGGGCCTGTACAGTCAAGCCTTACTGGTATGTAAACTACATACTGTATTCAGCGATTGGCTTCTTGTCACTACTCAATGTTTTTATCAAATCCAAAATAACAAATTGGTCATGTCTAAGAGGTGACATACGGAATCAGAGTGAATAATAGAATACTGTGGAATTATAAATGTTGAATCTGTTCTCTCACTGAAACGGCTTTCAAGAATGATTTGAAGATATTTTCATACAATCTTGAATTCTGGAGGTGACCTTGAGTTACACATACTGTAAACCCACGAAATTTTTGCGAGCATGATATTTTTTTACGAAAATTGCAAATGACTTGAGTTCGCAAAAATATCATGACGCAATTTATTATTCACCAGTCCATATAATCAACAACAGATCTAGACAATACATTAATTATGCAATGACAACCACTTGAGGGAAGACTAATTACTACCATTACTAGTACTCACATGTCAAACAAGGGATACTCGAACAAAAGTTACTCAATCAATAGTCCAGACAGGCGCCAACCACTCAACACACATTCTGTTTCTTTAAAGACCGTTTGATAGGACGACACCATCCAACTGGCGTGGATAGGTTTCATCACACTTTTCCGGAGATTAACAGCTTTGGTGATGTCATTGTCAACAATTAATATAATCCCTTTATTTAATTGTTTTAAGCTTATCTGGCCTCTGTAGTGTGTGTTGATTGTAGGAAAACACCACTGATTGCGTACACACGGAAGTACTCTACTGAGCTCAGTTCAAAATTAGCGGCAACCTTTAATATGTGATTGGATTTACATTAGTTAGAACTTTCGGTTGCAATCTAGGTTTGAGAATTAGGCAAGTCACAAAAATATCATGACGCAAAAACGTCTGTTGGTCGGTACTCGCAAAAATTTCATAACGCAAAATTTCGTGATTTACAGTATTGTATTGAATATATATATATACTCTTGTTGGGGTATGACATTATTTGTGGCACCAGCATGGATGTGTGTGAGTTGCAGGGTGCGAGTTGTTCGAGGTTACCCTGGACATGCGGACAGCCAAGCGCTTGTTTGAAAACCTGCACAGGAGGCCAGCATCCCGAGGAGCTCGCATCCAGCAGCAGACCGAGGAATTTAGAAAACAAGATGAGTTGAGGAGACAGAGTGAAGAGAGGGCACGAGAGAAACAGCTTCGTCAGGGTCAGTGTGTGAAAGTTTCATCCTTTTATAGATGAAGTTATGGTCAACACCGCTCATTCTACAATGACTGAAGAGTGCATGTTTTGGACAGGACTGTCACATGGTGTTTGTTTACACTAACATCACAAGTTGCATTTTAGATCAGATATGAGTTTCAAATTAGTGGATGCTCTGTACCTAATGCTGCTGTCTTAACAGGGTCAACAAACCAGAGTTTCTTGTATAATTGAGTGCCATGTGTAAACAGTATGTATCCAACACGGCCAGTTACTGACTGATGAGTGTTTGTGAATCAGATGAAGCTCTCGCCAGGAAATTACAATATGAAGAAAACCAAGGCCCACATCAGGGGAAGGAGACATCCAGCTCTACCCTGAAGAACACCAAGTCAGCACTAGCGTCACAGTCCCAAGGCCTCTGGCAGCAGGGGAGCAGCACTCACATGTTCAGCAGGAAGCGGACAAAGCCTACATACAACCTCTTAGACATCATGAAAGAGGAGCAAGCCAACCAGCAGAGGCGTGAGGAGCAGGTGAGATTGTAGGAGGGTCAACAACAAGGGGGGTCTGATGTAGCGGGTGAGACTGTAGGAGGGTCAACAACAAGGGGGGTCTGCTGTAACAGGTTAGACTGTAGGAGGGTCAACAACAAAGGGGGACTGCTGTAACAGGTGAGATTGTAGGAGGGTCAACAACAAGGGGGGTCTGATGTAACAGGTTAGACTGTAGGAGGGTCAACAACAAGGGGGGTCTGCTGTAACAGGTGAGACTGTAGGAGGGTCAACAACAGTGGGGTCTGCTGTAACAGGTGAGACTGTAGGAGGGTCAACAACAAGGGGGACTGCTGTAACAGGTTAGACTGTAGGAGGGTCAACAACAAGGGGGGTCTGCTGTAACAGGTGAGACTGTAGGAGGGTCAACAACAAGGGGGGTCTGCTGTAACAGGTGAGACTGTAGGAGGGTCAACAACAAGGGGGGACTGCTGTAACAGGTGAGACTGTAGGAGGGTCAACAACAAGGGGACTGCTGTAACAGGTTAGACTGTAGGAGGGTCAACAACAAGGGGGTCTGCTGTAACAGGTGAGACTGTAGGAGGGTCAACAACAAGGGGGTCTGCTGTAACAGGTGAGACTGTAGGAGGGTCAACAACAAAGGGGGGTCTGCTGTAACAGGTGAGACTGTAGGAGGGTCAACAACAAGGGGGGTCTGCTGTAACAGGTGAGACTGTAGGAGGGTCAACAACAAGGGGGGTCTGCTGTAACAGGTGAGACTGTAGGAGGGTCAACAACAAGGGGGGTCTGCTGTAACAGGTGAGACTGTAGGAGGGTCAACAACATGGGGGACTGCTGTAGTGGGTGAGACTGTAGGAGGGTCAAGAGCAAGGGGGGACTGCTGTAACAGGTGGGACTGTAGGAGGGTCAACAACAAGGGGGGTCTGCTGTAACAGGTGGGACTGTAGGAGGGTCAACAACATGGGGGGCTGCTGTAGTGGGTGAGACTGTAGGAGGGTCAAGAGCAAGGGGGGACTGCTGTAACAGGTGAGACTGTAGGAAGGTCAACAACAAGGGGGGACTGCTGTAACAGGTGAGACTGTAGGAGGGTCAACAACAAGGGGGGACTGCTGTAACAGGTGAGACTGTAGGAGGGTCAACAACAAGGGGGGACTGCTGTAACAGGTTAGACTGTAGGAGGGTCAACAACAAGGAGGGTCTGCTGTAACAGGTGAGACTGTAGGAGGGTCAACAACAAGTGAGGTCTGCTGTAGCGGGTGAGACTGTAGGAGGGTCAACAACAAGGGGGACTGCTGTAGTGGGTGAGACTGTAGGAAGGTCAACAGTATGGAGATATACATACACTTTATTCTCAAGGATGAATCTTTAGTACCGGTACATGACTTTCTCAGCTGGACATTTGCAATGAATCAACCACATGGCTGTTACAACACAACTGTGTTTGCAGATGAGGGTGCTGGATGCAACAGGCGACAGGATAGCCATCGCCACCAAGCTGAAGAGACAGAAGCTCTATAACCAGTTCCCTGGAGTAGATGAGAACTTCCTCGAGGAAATATTTGAAGCGAATGGGTAAGTGATGACCATTAGCCACTTAGAATACCAACAGTCTCCTGACCGTTTGAAATATTTTGCATTAAGAGCAAGAAAATGTGTCTGGTGGTTTCAGCTTATGCGGTTTCTGAACTCATTTATATTCCTGGTATCTGCATCTTTCAACAAGGACCAAAGCTTTGTGTGGTTGCTTGTCAGTCTGAAGACATATGTCATGATATGTGAAGGTAATAGTTGCTGTGTGTGCCCTGACAGGTTCAGTGTGAAGACATATGTCATGATATGTGAAGGTAATAGTTGCTGTGTGTGCCCTGACAGGTTCAGTCTGAAGACATATGTCATGATATGTGAAGGTAATAGTTGCTGTGTGTGCCCTGACAGGTTCAGTCTGAAGACATATGTCATGATATGTGAAGGTAATAGTTGCTGTGTGTGCCCTGACAGGTTCAGTCTGAAGACATATGTCATGATATGTGAAGGTAATAGTTGCTGTGTGTGCCCTGACAGGTTCAGCCTGAAGACATATGTCATGATATGTGAAGGTAATAGTTGCTGTGTGTGCCCTGACAGGTTCAGTCTGAAGACATATGTCATGATATGTGAAGGTAATAGTTGCTGTTTGTGCCCTGACAGGTTCAGTCTGAAGACATATGTCATGATATGTGAAGGTAATAGTTGCTGTGTGTGCCCTGACAGGTTCAGTCTGAAGACATATGTCATGATATGTGAAGGTAATAGTTGCTGTGTGTGCCCTGACAGGTTCAGTCTGAAGACATATGTCATGATATGTGAAGGTAATAGTTGCTGTGTGTGCCCTGACAGGTTCAGTCTGGAGGAGACGGTGGATGTCCTACGTGGGGCAGTGGGCAAGACCCGGTCACCACAGAGGGCATTTTCCCAACACATTGGGCAAGATGACCATACAGAAAGTGCCAAGATGAAGAGTCTACAAGATCTGGTTTGTGTCTTTTATCCAAAATCATTTATGATTGTCAGAATTGCAGTGAGTAAGTTTTTACTGAAATACAACATTCTTTGATGCAAATACAAGGACAAGGTCCCCTATCTTCCACCCTCCCATACATTCAGCTCACTTACCTACTTATACGAACTGAAGCCATCACGCTTGTGATAACTACCAGCTTTGCTCCACAACGTTAATATAGGAGAGACACACACAATTACTGAATACAGATGATGTTGTGGCAGATATCATCATAAGGATAATCATCCCCAGGTTGACCAGTCATGGCTGCAACAGGAGACAGGGACGTTGGAGTACCTGGACGCAGCTGAAAACATGGACTACGACAACATCCGCGGGGAGGCCAACATTCACCACAACATGAGAAACGAGTGCTTCCAGAAAGCTCAGGAGGCCTTCAGGCGCTGCATGAAAGATGTGGCCTCATTCTATTCACAACAGGTATGCTGGATAACAATGGTGTATCACTTGGGGAGAATTCTGTTTTACAAACTGCCGATTGGAATGAAATAATCTAAAGGTCATAGACTAGTCTGTAGTGACTAAGCTCCCTTTGATCAGTTGCCACTTTGTATTGCAGGGCCATCTGCACACACGCAAACTAAAGGAAGCCAACATGAGGGCCTCTCAGAAGATCATGGAACACAGGTAACACAGGATACTGACTTCAATACAGACACTGATGTAAACATAGTGTCATTTGTTGGAATATTCTGGAATTAAAAGTGAAACGTACAAAATCACTTGGTTACCTTTTCCAAGAAATGTAGTCCAATAGTAGTTCACAACATAGCACATTCAGACATTATTATACCACTGCCTGGCACTGTGTGAGGTGTTGCTTTGTTTCTCCAGGTCATCCTTCCTGATGCAGCACGGGACCTTGGATCTCCACGGCTTCCATGTGGATGAGGCTATCACTATACTCAAGTCAGTCATTGAAGACAGAGAGACGGGTAGGCCGTTTTCACAGAATTAGTGGACAGTTAGAACCCCCGGCACTGACCTGTCATTCCTCTATATTAAGGATTCCTCTATTTTAAGGATTCCTCTATTTTAAGTATCCCTCTATATTAGGGGTTCCTCTATATTTGGAGTTGTACACAGGTTGTCAAACAGGAGTGGTTAAACTTAAGCTGGAATTTGAGCTTCATCACTTCAATTGATTTCCTCCTCAAGTGGATGCTTATCATTCAAGTTGCAGACTTTTTATCTTTCTTCTCGCACATTTAATCCTTGAGAGTTAGGTAGGAACAGCTTGTGTTGTGTTCGTGATAGCTTGAGTATTGGTGAAACATAATTTATGTGAGTTCTGAAATGGAGTCTAGGTCCCAAGGTACTCGCATACGGTCAAGGTCAGTACAGAATGCAATATGTCGCAAGTTTTCTATAAGTGGTTTAATTCATGAAAATTCAAAGCCTTTACAAGTAAAAATTAGTGCAGATGAACATACAGTGTTCAAAGTTACAAGTAGGCTGTGCTACAGTCTCAAAAGAAATCCACATTAATAGATATCGCAACTGAAGGTACTATTGCCAGCAAAACAGTATGACAGAGAACAAGACCAACAATATAGCCTTTGGGATTTCTGATGAGAATTGAGGTCCCCCTTCAACCTACACTTGTCATAAGACGTCACTGAATGGGTTATGTAAGTGCATTTCATTGTATCCAACGTGTGTTGATTGATGCTCACACCATCTGTTACTGGATTGTCTGGTCCAGAGTGAATCCGTTACTGGTGCTGTCAAATACCTGGTATATTGTCAAGTGTGGCATAAACATCACCCAACAATACACCTCTCAAAACACCGACTGACTGACTGAGTTGGGTTTATGCCACTTTTAGCAATATTCCAGCAATATCTGGCGGGGGACAGCAGAAATAGGTTTCACACATTGTACCCTTGTGGGGAATCGAACCCAGCGAACTTCAGCGTTACGAGTGAACATATTAACCACTGGGCTACCCCACCACCCCCCTCTCAAAACAAATGATAATTAAACTCATCTATATATTTTAGGGAAGGGTGATGTGAATATTTCAGATGATACATGTGTGTTATACCCAACAGACTTGCAAGCACGACCCGATCGGAGGAAGCAGTCCTTGTTTGTCATCACTGGAAAGGGCCGACACAGTCGTGGAGGGGTGCCAAACTCCGCCAGCCATTATCAACCATCTGAACAATATGAACTATAGGTGAGGACAGATATGAAGCCACGTCATGCATTCAGTGAAAGGCTGCCCCTCCCACTGGTGAATGTAGCATTGTTTGTATTTTATAAAGATTTACAAATGCAGCCAAATTGTCTGCTGTAGTCCCTGTTTTTGTTATTTACCCCACAAATAATACTGTAATAAATGACAGCTTAGTTCTTGCAGCAGTTTACTATTTTAGACCTGTAGTCTCCCGTCAAATATTTACATTACATAAACAGCCAGTCAGTAACTGTGTACAAGTTGGATTAAACCCTGCTGTTGGAGGCAGTGTTACTTCAAACGTTTTTATTATTAATGAAATCGGGCAAGTTTCCTGAAGAAAGTGTTCAATGTATATATGAATCTGAAAATCACTAGGACTAAGGTACTTCTGTTCAGTAAACTGATGGAGCCCAGGATGCACCATGCCCTTCACTACTGTGGCTGTTTGAATATATCCATGTCAGTTTCAACCTTTGGAAGAATGCAATAATTGGATAAACAAGTGAAGTCATACCCACAACCAGTGTGTCTGTGAAATGGTTGTCCAGAATTTGTCTGTCCATGTGTCAGAATAATTGTACTTGAAGCTGACCTGCACCAGTGGTTAGAGTTATCAGAAATTATTATATGTATAGAAAGATGTTCATGTTGTATAATGTTTTCTCATCCATTATGACCTGTTAACTAAAACAATTTTGAATCTTTTTATCACCCGAGATTATAAATTTGTTAGGATGGGGCTCAGCTAGGGACATTTGTGGGCCCAAATTAGATCACAAGAATAAAATTTGTGACGAGGCTGCTTTAATGACTGAACACTGGTTTTCTCACAGGTACGTCTGACAGATGTATTCAGTTTATAATGTTCATTTTAGTACATTTATCAAAAGGTTTTTTTAAATAGTTGGAAAAAATGTCAGCCATTAGACAACCTAGTAAGATTCAGACAACCCAATAAGATTCAGACAACATAGTCAGATTCAGACAACATACACAGCCCAGAGATGAAACATCGTTTAGACTAAATATCATTATATACTCATGAAAATGAATGAGGGAACACATGAAAGTACAAGTGTTCCTTTATTCTTTTCCAGGTTTCTTCACAGGGTATGTATTGTACTATGGGTGAAATTCTGGAAATAGATAAAGGAACACTTGTATTTTCATACAAGTACAACTCTTTTCTTGACAAGTTACCAGTACAACTCTTTTCTTGACAAGTTACCAGTACAACTCTTTTCTTGACGAGTTACCAGTACAGCTCTTTTCTTGACATCTTACCAGTACAACTCAAGTTACCAGTACAACTCTTTTCTTGACAAGTTACCAGTACAGCTCTTTTCTTGACAAGTTACCAGAACAACTCTTTTCTTGACAAGTTACCAGTACAGCTCTTTTCTTGACAAGTTACCAGTACAACTCTTTTCTTGACAAGTTACCAGTACAACTCTTTTCTTGACAAGTTACCAGTAAAACCCTTTTCTTGACAAGTTACCAGTACAGCTCTTTTCTTGACAAGTTACCAGTACATCTCTTTTCTTGACAAGTTACCAGTGCAACTCTTTTCTTGACGAGTTACCAGTACAACTCTTTTCTTGACAAGTTACCAGTGCATCTCTTTTCTTGACAAGTTACCAGTGCAACTCTTTTCTTGATGAGTTACCAGTACAACTCTTTTCTTGACAAGTTACCAGTGTAACTATTTTCTTGACAAGTTACCAGTGCAACTCTTTTCTTGACGAGTTACCAGTACAACTCTTTTCTTGACAAGTTACCAGTGCAACTCTTTTCTTGACGAGTTACCAGTACAACTCTTTTCTTGACGAGTTACCAGTACAACCCTTTTCTTGACGATTCTTGACGAGTTACCAGTACAGCTCTTTTCTTGATGAGTTACCAGTACAGCTCTTTTCTTGACGAGTTACCAGTACAACTCTTTTCTTGACGAGTTACCAGTACAACTTTTTTCTTGACAAGTTACCAGTGCAACTCTTTTCTTGACGAGTTACCAGTAAAACCCTTTTCTTGACGAGTTACCAGTGCAACTCTTTTCTTGACGAGTTACCAGTACAACTCTTTTCTTGACGAGTTACCAGTACAACTCTTTTCTTGACGAGTTACCAGTACAACTTTTTTCTTGACGAGTTACCAGTACAACTCTATTCTGGTGGTATTGCCATCAACAAGTGACTTGTTTTCTCCACATTTCAGATACACAGAGCAGCAGCCAGGGCTGTTCAAGATATTCCTGCAGTATCGGCGCATAACAAACAATGCCTGTTTACTACTTACTCTGTGATATGAACCTGCTGTCCTCATCCAGGATTAATATATGCATTACATTTGTACAGACTGTTTGTATATTTTTGTACTGAGAACCTTCTACACAAATCATGTCAGTAATGGCTTACTTGATGTCTTGTAGATATGTAAATACTGCACAATTCAACATTCCCATCTAGTCCTACACTTGTGCCTTACACTGTATTTTAGTGAGGCATGTATTTAGGAGACAAACATTGGGTTTTCAGTGCTTATCTGTACATTTAACTGCACTAAATTGAACTTGCAGTGTAAGATTTTAAATGCTGAAATAATGGCAGTCAACTCTACATTGTACCATGACTAAATACAGGGTTGTGTTGAGCGTTGTGGGCACCCAAGCATGGCATCCCTATGGTTCAGTATTGTGGAAGGGAAATTTGAGTATTATGTGCCCCAAATACTTTTTAAAACAAGAACACTTTGTAGATGGCAGATATACTGACTGAAGCAGCCTTGTCGGGAGTTGTGTGTCTTGAGTGAGTGTCTGAATTAAGGAATCACAAACTACAGCTTACAGTAGATGCTGTATAGTAGTGCTTTACACTTGCTGCTACTTCACCACATGCATGTACCACAACAACTGCTTCAGCTGACATTTTGGCTCCCTGGAAAAAACTGAACAAGCCTTGCAAGGTTTAATTCTACATTGAACGTCACTATGATGGCGCCATATCGCTGATATGGTGTCACAGTCATGAAGAAGAGCTCTCCATTCCATGCTCTCTGGTGTCCTCAGAATTCTCTTGTACATGTATATTACTGTTGTGGTTTCTGCACAAGATATGTAGACACATAGCCTTTGAATATAGAATTAGTCACAACTTTGCACCCTATAATTGTACATATAAATAGAAACATACTTGCTATCAATGACTTAAAAAGAAGTACCTATTTTGTAAATATTGGCATCTGTGATGATGCGGTCATCAAATCAGCTATTCCAATCAGATGGGGTTTGTTCTGATATCCTCATACTGACCAGTCAAAGTCAAGTACCGGTAATCTCCAGTTTTATTGTAGAATTAACTATTATGAAAGGTTGTGTTAGTGATGTGCTGTGTTTTATGGCAGACTTTATAAGTCTTGTAGACTATATAAGCCAGGTACAAGTACAGCTACAACATGTATTAAGGGATGCTTGCTTTTTGTGGAAATTGAGCGGTGAACAATAATCATTTTGCCAGCAGAGAATATTGACTTTATTCTGTAAAATGTTTGCCAGCAAAACTGCCTCTTCACGAAATTCTTTTCACCACTTCCTCCTGAAACATGTAAACACTAAAAAACAACAGTAAATTTATAGTGTGAACTTTGCAGGCACACAGACTGGAATGATCTTTGGAGTTTATATCAACAGAGCATGTAATCATTATAAGTATGATGTGTATGTTTACTTAAAGACACTGTAAGTTGCCTTACTTTTAAAACTGGTTTTCATTTTACTACGTGTTTTAGACGTAATGTCATGTGCAACTACTTAGTCTTATGTATGTGATTCCTGTCCTAATGGAGGATTAGTGTTGTAGTGATGGAGTAGTGGCCTGTCAGACTGTACAGTGTCTAGAGATGCTGGCCGTCCCTGGATGCCTGGATGAGTATTTTTGTATTCTTATAAGATAAGTATTCTATGTCCATTTTATATGTTTTATCATTGAATGTTTGTTACCTATGTTACTGAGATGTGCTTTGAAAGTCCATAAAGATGTGTTTACAGATACTCTGTTGTTGCTGCTGTTAGTTAATCTAGTTAGTAACATCTAATTATGCCCGCAGACCATTCTGTAAACTTCAGTAAGACTTTATTTCGTTTCATAGACTCTTCTACCTTGTAAACTTCGCCCACATCACAACATTTTTTCTCGAACAACAGACATGCCGTTGTTGAAAGTTCATAGTGTCATCATGATATGTCAAATCTAAGTGATGTTATCTAACAGTGTACGTATCAATCTGCCAGAGTGGAGACCTACATGTGTTGGATTTCTTGAAATGCTACTTGCTTTAACCACATTCATTGACAGGAGGTTGAAAGTAAGTACTGCCCAACATTGTAAGGAACTTTGTAACCTACAAACACACGAAGGAAACTTGATACAGGTATCAACATTTATTCTGTTCCAACAAATTACAAACTCTTTTTATTTCCTTGAATCTTCTGGCATGAATCCATTAACAGAGTTACTTCAATCTCTGCAACAACTGTAATTGTCTTATATGGTTGTCTGAAATTGCTGTCAAGAAGTAGTTGACTTCATTTTCCAGTGCCCACCACAAACACATGTCTTGACAAACCTCTGCTCCCATGACTTGAGTATCAGTGACTTAGCCGTACTGTGAACCAGAGACATAGCACTACACCGACAACATTCTCTCACTTTGCCAGATGGATTTGCTCCGAGATGTATGTGTCGCACTGCATCGTCGTGATGCTGTCTGGTCTCCATAGCAACATCAGTTGTATACAGTCTTGACTGTTTTAAGTTGTACAAGTAGTCTGGTTCATGACCTACAAAGAAACTGAGTGGAAATTGTTGACTGAAGATAGCGAAACTATAGTTCTCTTCCCCAAAGCTTTGCTTCATGTTAGGGATGATAACTTTGCTTGGCAGGTGGCAGCACTCGTCCATCAGCGAATCATCATACTCAAAACTATTACCATCTCGTATAGACAGCCAGAGCTTGGTGAGAAGCTTGTAGATGTGCGAGACACAATCTATGTGAGTCATGTTAGTGAAGGTGGGAAGGCAGCCTTGGTTGATGACTCCCCACACACGGATGATGACAATGAGTTCCCGGAGCGTGTGGAGCACAGATGCGTCACGGAGCAGGGACGAACCCAGGAAGGAAGAGTAGGACTGGTAGAGGGGAGCAGAGGACAGCAGGTGCAGGGCGAAGTCTGTCACCCACTGGATGAATGGCTGGAGTGGTTGCAAGGAGTCTGAAACAACAGTCAATAACACAGGTGTACTGATTGTCTAACTCAATAACACAGGTGTACTGATTGTCTAACTCATTAACACAGGTGTACTGATTGTCTAACTCAATAACACAGGTGTTCTGATTGTCTAACTCAATAACACAGGTGTACTGATTGTCTAACTCATTAACACAGGTGTACTGATTGTCTAACTCATTAACACAGGTGTACTGATTGTCTAACTCAATAACACAGGTGTACTGATTGTCTAACTCATTAACACAGGTGTACTGATTGTCTAACTCATTAACACAGGTGTTCTGATTGTCTAACTTGATAACACAGGTGTACAGCGCAACTAACTCAGTAACACAGGTGTAGTGATCAACATGACAAATGTTCCAAGTAAAATAAAATGTGTATTCTTTCAGCCATAATAAAAACAGGCTCAGCCAAGATTTCTATTTGAAATGATGCCATCAAGGGACATCCAATGGCAGGAAGATGCCTAAACACATGTCCACAGATTTCCTTTACTGTATAGAACACCAGTTATCAGTGTAGAAAAGACCCCTATACACTTACATATTGACAATGGACGCAATAAAATATATTAGCATGTCCACAAGACTGAAAAAGTCCAAAGTTGTAACAATTCCAATCAAGTAACAATAAGTTATCACTGGGTTATGGTATTATTTGGAATTTAATTACTGTAACAATGTGGTGATCATGATACACAATACAGTCACAGAATTAATAATAATATTTAAGTGTCTGGGACCCCCATTTTGTAGTCCAGGACCTCTGAAAATTAAGAGTATGAGTCCCCGGGACCCTTAAATACAGGACTCCATGTAAATCCCTGCAGCCAACAACAAATGTTGCGTAGTTCTGCCATACTTACATTCAGACGGAGTGCTGAGCTTGTCCTTCCTGGCAGGCTCCACAATGAACTCGTCTGTGTCCAGGTTGGTCAAGACTGAGTCCAGCTCCAGGTCACTGTGCTTGCTACACACTGCTGACAGCTTCTCTGCTGGGGACTGATGGAAACAAATGTCAGTTGGGCCACTCAAATGTCTGATAAGTATTCGAACTAACCTGTAGAGGTTTAAGATTCTTTGAATATATTCCTCCTTGGGGTACTTATAAGCATTTAAATGTCCATTTAAATTCCCTACGACAGTTGTAACAATATTTGAATAAAATATTTACAAAACAAAAACTACGTTTTGTCTTGTGAGACCACCCTTACAGGGCCTTCCAGCCCCCTACAGCCAAGAGCAGGTAACTCTAGACCGTAACCTCGTACCTCACTTTCCATGCTGAACGAAGTCAGACAGAATGCGGAGGGAGGGAGTAGGCATTACCCAAGGAGGAATATATTCAAAGAATCTTAAACCTCTACAGGTTAGTTCGATTCTTTTTATATATTCCTCCTTGGGGTACTTATAAGCATAAGACAGACTCCTAAAGACGGATCTCAGGCGGCATTCTGTCTGCTTAAACACCCCGACAAGAAGTGGAATTTCCCAAGCTAATTATAGCAGAAAAGGCACACTTACCGGTCACGTGTCCACCAAAGCCAATCAGGCGGGGGCATGAGCCAGGGTCAGGGTTAAACGTATGCAAATTTGTCCAGAGAAACCTCGCTAATGCAGCGAACGAGACACACCCTCCCTCCTTCCCGTAATCTACTCGGAAGTGAAGATAAGGGTCCCCATAATAAACCCAGAAAGCGAAATGCCGGAATATGAACAGCAAAGTTTCCAAGGGCAGTTTAGTCTAGAGCTTCTCGGTTAGAAAGCAAGAGACATGGGAATAAAAACCAGCACCACATAAAACCCATCACCAAGGGAAAAATGTAACAAGATTTGTAAAACCCAACACCAGTGTTAAAATTGGCAGATAATGGTTCACACAATAATGTTTTAAAACCTCGAAAGCTCAATCGGCTAGAGAGGTGGAACCATGCCCACTGGAGAGAACTGACTGACCGAACCGAAAGCACGCTCACTGGAGAGTCTGTCAAGTTGGTAATGACGGGATGAACGCATTACGAGGACGGCTCCAAATAGCGCTGAGCAGATCTCCTCAATGGGCAGGGCTGCAGCGTAAGCTGTCGATGTAGCTACTGCCCTAACCGAATGAGCTTTCAACCCAACAGGCGGGATCGCCCTGTTTGAGTATAACTCATATGTATGGCAGAGACAAGCCACCGAGAAATGGTCTGCTTGGTGGCCGGAAGACCAGCCTGAACCCCGCCATAACAACAAAACAATTGGTTACCCTTACGGGTACCCTTGTTCGTTTGATATAAGCCTGAAGTGTCTTCACGGACATCTAAGGCGTGAGCACGCGTAGAGAGGTACCGGACAGGGAAGGCTGAGTGAAAGCTGGGAGCTCAATAGGCAGCCGTCACATGGAAGGGACTATCCTTCTAGGGACGGTAAGTCTCAGGCAGCGAATGCTAACTCTGTCTTTGTGAAAAACAGTAAGCGGGATCGGCCAACATTGCATGAATATCGCCAATCCGCCTGCCAGAAGTCACCGCCACAAGAAGCGCCCGTCTTCCACGTCAACAGCTGGAGGGAAAGAGCCGACAGATTGTGAAACAGTGGACCGGACAGCCAATCAAGAGCGATTGACAAGTCCCACGGGGACTAATCCGCCGGACAACCGGACGGATTCTGTCCACGCCTGCTAAAAGCTGTACAAGAGGGTGCTGCCCCAAGAGAGCACCGTCAACAGGAATATGAAAGCGCAGAAATAGCCGTAGAATATCCCGAACAGTGGAAGCCGCTAGACCGGCTTCCAACCCGAGACTGGAGGAATTCTAACACACAGACTAAATCTGTAGAAAAGGGATCAAGAATCCCCCTGTTGACACACCAGCCTTGAATAACAGGCCCATCTATCCTCATATTGAAGCGTTTGTCGAATCCTTCTTGAAGCCAGAATTGTGTCTGCAACTGGTGCAGGAATTCGCTTCGCATGGAAGCGATCCCTGATAGCGGCCAAGCCACCCACTGAATCCTGGGATTCGGTGGAAGCTCCGTTCTGGGATAGGAGGTCCGGTCGAAAAGGTAATAGAACAGGAGGCTGAGCCAGAAACCTGAGAATTACCGGAAACCAGCTTTGTGCCGACCAAAGGGGTGCCAGAAGCACAAGTAGCCGAGCTGGTTGTGCGGTCAGCTGCGACAGGACCCTGGAAATCAGTGGTATCGGGGGGAACGCCCACAGTACCCTGTCCGTCCAATCTAGCTGAAAGGCGTCGTTGGCTAACGCACCGGATCCGAATCCGGGGAGCAAAACACAGGAATCTGGTTCGTCACCCCAGGCGCAAACAGATCCACCTGGAACGACCGAACAACTGGGAGATAATCCCGAATATCTCCCCGGTCGAGCATCCACTCGTGTGGGGCTAGTATACGCCGTGAGAGAGCATCTGCACGGACGTTGTCTACCCCCGGGAGATAAACAGGCAAAACCCGAATGTTGAACTGATCGCACCACAGTAGAAACTGCCACGCCTCCTGAAGGAGCGACGGAGACACTGTGCCGCCTTGCTTGAGAATGTAAGGCATGGCCGTTTGATTGTCCATTTCTAGACGAACCACACGGCCCTGCACCAACACCCGGAAGCACTCGAACGCCTTGCGGACTGCTCTCAGTTCTAACACATTGATGTGTAGGCTGACCTCCTGCTCTGACCAGAGGCCGGAGGCTGAGTGCTCGCCCAGGACCCCCCCCCAACCTGTGAGGGAGGCGTCCGTCTGAACTGAGAGGGAAGGTGTCGG